TGCGGCCTCTATCTTCATGGAGGTTATGAGGCCGACTTCAACAATTACCAATAGATGACATTTTCGACTGTGTGGCAGAAGGGAACATGCATGGATTATGAGACCGGGGGAAACATGCCCTGTCCAGGGAGCTGGAAGGTGTTGGCGAAGGAGGCTACCTTCTAGCTGACAGGTGAAGGAGAACGAGTTAACCAGATGGACAGTGGAAGACAAGTAATCCAGGCAGAGAGAACATGCGCAAAGACCCTAGGAGAGAGGAAACAGAGAGAGGACAAGTGGGATCGCTAGAGGTAAAGAGGAGTTCGATGTGAAGCTCGAGAAATCGGCAGAGGCCAGAGCCCATGGCAGGCATATTGAAGACTTGATCTTCACATCATAAGCCATCCCCACCACTGGATTGTTTGAAGCCACTGAAGAGTTTCAGGGTTCTGAGTGTATTGCGACTTTTTTAAAGAATTCAAGGGATACAGTCGACAGTTGGCAGGCTGGCCTTTCTCTCTACTTGTCTGGGTTACTCACAGTATCACTTTAATCCATCAGATGAAACCTTTGGCTTTTCTTTCAATTACCTAATGCCATAATATGAGTAGAGTTATAGTGAGCAATAAATTCTCCCAGGATTCCCATCCCCAGAGTAGTCAGCTTCTACTTTTATTATAGAGTGCTAGCTCATTACTCATAAATCCCAAATACATGTTCCATACAGACATCTCCTAAAATGCTTTGCACAGCTTCAAATTCTAGACTCTGCCCTGAAAGTGCAGTTGAAATTGGAGATGTGCAGGGTGGACTTCAGAGTTGGACTGAGACGGAGAAATGAAAATGGGAAAGGAAGACAAAGATAAAAACAAAAATAATTAAGAAGCTGATTTTTAAAGAAGATTAACAAGTGTTGGCTAATAATGAATCAAATTAGATGAAGAGAAGTAGATTTTATTGACCATCTGTTCTAGAACAATAGGGTCTTTGAGAGGCCCACAGCTATTTATCTGGCAGCTGAGATAGAGAATAAATTTTTACAGGTGTTGATAAGGAGAATGTTTTTCCACTAAATTAGTTAGTATCTAAGGAAGCAAAAGAAAAGGGCAAAATGCCACAGAACATCCAGCTCCTCAAACTCTGAGGCGCTCTGGAGGAAAGGAGCAGACCCCTTGGGTTTCCCACGCCCGTAGTCACTGGCTCAAAGACACTCAGAGCAAGTATGTGACAACAGCAGATGATTTTTCTCTAGAGAAACACACTAGGGGTGGCTAAAAAGACAATTCAAGAAAAGACAAAAAGGTGTGAGTCTCCTAGGAGTTACTCAGAGAGGTTTCTCTTTAAAGAAAACCACAAAATCAAGATAGGGGAAACACAGGAAGACTAGGACATGAGAGAAAATTGATTTAGGATACACTGTAAACCGGGAACAATGATAAGAGAGAGATTGTCATAACTAATAGTATCAGGCCTCTGCCCAGGTTCCTGCCTATTCATGGTTCTAATGCCAACCTATAGCATTATACTTCACACCATGCCTGATT